TCATACCATCTCAACAAGAAACACACATATATGGCATAGCAAGTTTTGAATAAGTAAACCCACCTGGATTTTGGATCGACGATAGCAAATTCAAAAAGGACGTAGGTCGAGTCTTGACTCCTAAGAAACCTACATTAAGTCAAGATCCTACAATTATTATCTATCCCGACTTAAATAGAAAACACAAATCAGACTTAGTCGAACTTGGTTCGACTAAGTTATTCGTTAAGTCCTGTGGATGTTGGAACACTTAGACTCGACACTATACTCAAACAAATCCTACATGGCAGTTCACATAAATCATAGTAATGATTGACCAAGTCCAACAAACAAGAACAGAAAGTATGACGATTTACAGTTTTTAACATAAAAATCATATTTCACAATCACTAGCCAATAATCACTAAAATTAAGTTGAATAGGTTTCCCTATGAACTAGACTTTGCAATTTTAACCAAAAATACACTCCTCAATACTTAGAAAAATCACCAAGTTTCAGCCTCAAATTCAAAGTACATGATTTTACAAAATTCAAATACGGTATCAGCAAAAACGAGCATAGAATTCAAAGCCTAATCCAAAGAACGAATAAACACATGAGATTTTTACCAGAGCAAGTTCAGCAACTAAGGATCAACATATACAAATTCCAGTAATTAACATCAAATACACAAATTATGAAAATTCATACAAGATTCAGCAGTTTATCAAATTTTAATTAAAACCGAACCAATTTGAGCTCTACAAATTCTAATCTTTTTACAACATTACACTCCACATAAAAAAAGCTTCTCAGCCAAATATCAGAATTTTTGTAGCAAAGGACCGATTTATCATAAGTAAAAACGTCTTTCTGCAAACAAATTAAATAAATTATTTACCCTATCAATCTCAGTCTAAAAATTATAAATATTTTACACAACATCATAATCATATAGCAAGACAACATACTAAAATTTCATAAAGTTTAGAGCACAACTCAATTTATTATCAATTAAATATGAATCTGACTAGAAATTACAATAATTTTTATAAATAGCTACAGACCTCCGAAAATTCTGAAATTTGTACACGAGCTATATAATGACCTGAGGCATGTACAT